AACGTCTTGCATATCACTTTCCCAGAGTTTTCTGTAAACTTTGTTATTGAATTAACTGCATTTATCTATAGAGAATCTCATCTCAATAACCATGCTTAGCTTTTCAAAATTACTACTGAACACTTACAAATAATAAAAATATAAGATCTATATTGATGGATATTTTACAAATGTATCAGATACGCAATACTTTTCCATAATAAGTGTGTCTTAGTAAAGTGTTATTGTTTGGCCAAAAAAGAACACATATTGCAAGGTAAGTGCCTATTCTTTGGCTGTTAGCATTTCTTGCCCCAATCGAAAGAAACGATTTTATATTGCGTTTATACCCTCGCATATGTTATCATATGTCGTATAATTTCCATTGAAGATCTGTCAAGCCTCATGGTGACATGACCTGAAACTATTGGTGAGCATAAACTGAAACTGAATGAAACTCTTATATAACACAATAGCAGAAATAAAGTCTGAATTGAACTGCAAAAAGCAAGAGTTTGGGTAAAGTACGATTTTTGATAGTAGGTATATTAACGTTCGATCATGTCTTGAATCCCAACAATGACAAGACTGTATTTAGGGCGTGGCTTATCACATTTTAGCTCAAATAGGGAAAGGTTCCATTTCTTTCTATGGTTACTTATACGATTTGGGGAATTTGGCAATAGTTATGACTAACGAAAATATGAACTTTTAACGTTCAAATACAAACCACATAGTAATTATTTCACTATCACTTTTTGAGTAATTGTATGCTAAATTATATTCGAATAAGGTAAATACAGATTGTATCGTAGACGTAATGATTTCATGGGTAGCAGAGAGACTGGAATGACGGCTGAAAACGGGAACAATATATTAAACGGGGAAGCAACCGTACATATGAATATGCATAAAATGTTATAACACCGATTAACAAAAGATCGAAAAGCTAAAGTGGAGATAGGGTAAAAATAATTATGCAAAAGAGGATGATGACCTTTAAGAGGAGCATGACTTTACGAGACGGGTTTTTTTTACCGCTCCGGAAATAAACATAATATAGTTTGCAGTGTGGTCACAGCAAACAATAGCATGATTGAACAAAAGAGTTTGTGTTTCCATTAATACGCAATTGTTGATATGATGTGATTACATTATATAATCAATCTCTCTCTCAAATATCACTTTTGTATCAGAGATGATCCATTTTTGGCGTTAAATTCCATAGTCGGGAATTAACAGAATAAACACCGAGTAGGAAACAGAAGTCTACATGCAGACAACGATATGTACGCCTAATTAATAACGCTTTAACAATGTGCCATTATTGATTTAATACAAATGTGCTTTTGAAGCAAGGGCCGCATTTAATTTTTGAACCAACCATTTTGCGCCGATAATATAAATATTTGTTTCATTTCTCTCTCTGCAAAAATCTGCTTTTACTATCCTGAACTAGTATGGTAAACCCGCTTGTTCATTATTATTTCGTTGCGAGGGAAGGCATTCCGAATAAGAGAGACCGGTTTTATCCTATCATCACATAAGACGACTATTACCATTTGCACATCACAATTAAAAGTTTCATTTATAAATATGTGTTGAAACACTGAGAACAAACTGAACTCTGGCATTGCAGGCAGGATCATCGTCGACATTTCCCATTTTGAGGATGAATATTTGGATTGTTATGGTTTTTTTCACTGAATTTTACATTGCATGACAATCGACTATTCTAATTGAGCCATGCGTTCAAAATGACAATGCTAATTAATAACAATAACATTAGTAATGTGTTTCAAATCGAAGAGTATGATTTAAAACATATGTATTCGAAATTATCTATCACAAGTAATGAAAAAGTTAGTAAGGTCCATCAGAGATTATTCTCATAGAAGCAGATTCAAACCTAAATATATACAAAAAGCTCTAAAGCATCCGGAGAGTGCCGCAGCAAATAATTGGATCAGTCGGCCGAATTAATGTACTTATGGTAGCACATAATTTTGTTATAACACATAAGAAATGTGTTATAGATGGTCTGAGGATCCTTTATTCTAACTGCCAAAACAGTTATTATTACTAAACCATGTTTTTTTAAACACCTACATTTATTTTCTTTGATACAATCATAATTACCCCAACATCCGATGCAATTCGATTTGCCCGGATAACTGTCAGGGCTACAAAAAGATGAAATGCGAATACAAACATCGAAAACTAGACCTGCTGACTTGGACCAAAATTTTTCTGTATAAATTTATCATTGTCAAGCGTCACATAAATATTACGAAATAAATTCTAAACATTACCACTACACTAGCATCAATGGATTGTCCTGTTAATTAGTTTTATATTATGCTCAATTGTCTACACTGTTAACTTTTCAGCTGCCCGGGTGATGTACGATATCGGAAGAATTTTGGTTAGTCCCTAATTTTGTTTATTTAAGCATGTGGTTGTAATAAACAGAGGCGGCGATAATGTATCGAAACTTTTGACCTACGTTTGGTTAACACTTGAAGAATCTCATCGTTCAGAATAGACAGTATTATATACATTATCCAAATTGTACTTGTCTAAACAATTCTCACGCGGGTTATAATTTGTCTCAGTTCATGATTTCAGACAGCCAGTCGTTTAAGTCATTAGTTTTAAACGCTTTGCGTAATAGCAATTATAGCGTTATCGGCAAACATATCGGCCGTCTTCCGAGGTTTGTCATTTTTGGCTTTCAATTTGAACAAGTATTATTATTTTTCTGATTGAGCTATATACAGTATAATGATTTGTATGATTGTTTCTATACAATATTCTTTAGCTAAGTTTGAGTTAGATAATTCGAGGGATTTAATCTTTTTCCTGCTTTTGTTTTGCACGTAACGTACCATAGGACCTTTTTTTCTTTTTCGATCAATCATTTTGACATAAGATTTTATGATGCTAGCCGAATTTTCGATTGTGATAAAATAACCTCATTTCCAAATTACATGTGCATGTTAAGCTTGTTTAGTGCCATAGACAATAGGCGAAATAAATACATTTGTGGTCTTGTCAATTGTAACGGTAACTAACGCAAAGGACTAATTTGGACTAGTGCATAAAAATGATCAATTAACCCTTATATAGAAATGATTGTAAAATGTCACGTTCAGGACAGCTGATCGGAGTCGGAGTCTGGATTATCAGACAGTCGAGACTGTAATACTCGTATATGTGACGTAGACTTTAAATATGACAAGGATCATCAGTGGTGATAGATATTACAATTCTCATTATTATTACAAGGACTAAAAAGGTGTGTATTTCCACTCCCAAGTTCCTTGTGTAAAAATTAAGTTTCTGTTCTGAGGGGCTTTTTTTATTAATAACATTTGTTCTAATAATAAGAAATCGTAACTGTTACACGCACGTTATCAATAAAACCTGTCGTACTATGTGTAATATGCGTTGCACAACATATCTATTCATGTACAGCATCACTTGAGTAAAATGGAAAACGCCAAAATGCTCCGTTGTCTTTGGTATTTATTATTGTTATTCAGATGATGACTTTTTTAACCGTTCGATGACTCAGTTGTGTAACATGTACATACCAAGCTAACCGACAAATAAACTCGTGACAGCATTCATTTCGGCACATCTACGACATTGGCCGGCCACTTCTACGTCATTTAACATTGTAATACACTGCTCAATTGAGTGGGAACTTTTTTCCTAGTGTTACCGCATAACATTTGCCAATGCATCTTTAAAACTCGCCATTTTATTCGATTGCCAGAAATTTTTCGAAAATTTTTATTTGTCACGTTCCTCAGCAGATCTGAGTCATGGAATATTCTCCATAGACAAAAGTTTGAACCTCCTTTCTTTTTTCCGATTACATCTTAACCGTTGTAACAATGTGATACTTTAATCGTCATCGCCCCACAGCGCATGCTGTCAACCGTTACACAGAACTTTAGACGCGCTTGCTAAAACGAACATCTGAAAGTAAATGATCATTGTAAAAGTAGGCGGACATCGCCAACAACGAATGAGCAAAATTGTTAAATATTTATTGCACTCATTATCGAAATTAAACCTAATCTTGTATCGACTGTGTGAAGAGCGATTGGAGATTTCGCTTTAACATAAAGATGTAATGCTGACGAAATAGAAAAAATAAGCCAAACAAACATCGAACACATGTTTGAATATTCAAGAGATCAGGCATGATGAGTTGCTACCGTGAACGAAAGGTTTTTTCGGAATATTCAATTAAGGTCTCGGTCAAACTTGGCTATTGGTAGCCTTTACTCGCACAAGTTTTGTTCTCGGAACAATCAAACTTGGTAATAAAGTTTGCCTCTAGATTTTATTAAGCAGATTTTTGGTCTAATTGCAAAAAAAAAATAATAATCAAAGACCAGCATTTTTAACTCGCTTACAACATTGTCATGTCATACAAAAGGAGAATGATGGTGCTATTCAGGAATAGCGCAAATTTTCTCTAATCGGCTTGTTCAGATATGGCCAAAGCTCCTTGTCACAGGCCTCTCGTCAATAAATAGAAATTCATATAGCAAAAAAAATATTAGCGATTAAAAGTTGACAAACAATAATATATATATGCATATATAGTTTTCCCTTTCGGTCAAGCTTTTAAACAAAGTTTATCTATAAGCTTCTCACACTGATCTGTTTACTGACAGTGAAATTCATAAAAATGAAATGACTAGACTTTAATAGAGAATACTAATGATATACATATCAATACCTGGATTTAATAATAAAGTTAATCGGTATCGTCATTTGATCATGGATTTTTATTTATCATCGAGACCGATACCAATATAACAGTTGTTCTTAATCAGTCTGTTGTCATGCATGAAAATTTTACATCCTTTTTTTTTGAATGAAAAAAATTTTGTTTTTATCTTGCCCCATACAAAAAGTCTGATTCATTTCATTCATCAAAATCATATGACCGTTCACAGTCAAACGCAAACCCAGAAATCACTTTCACAGCCCCCATCCCCTTACGAATTCTGTTCCTCACTTGCCACTCCCGCTACTACTCCCACTTCCTTCCCATCTTGACCTCTTACGTATGTAGGTATCGTCTCGCGGTGGACTGTAATGATCACCTCGTAATCGATCCCTCCGCTTTCTTTTGTCTCTTTTACCTCGTGCGTCTCTTGCGTCTCGTGAATCTTTTGCGTTGCGAGCATCAACGGCGCGAGGACGGAATTGTCTGTTATCTTGTAGTGGCGAGTGAGCATGAGGATGTCCGTGCGGATGAGCGTGAGGATGTAGTGGATGCGGCGGTGGCGGTGGATGATGCATATTTGCGAGTTGATTGTTCATGTGTGGAATATGTGGATTATTCATGTGCGCAGGTGGAGGGTTAAAGTGTTGTGCATTGGACAAAGTGCCGGGCAGAATTTGGTGAGGAGGGTGGACTGGAGGAGAACGGATTGGTGGGTGTTGTTGTTGCTGCTGCTGCTGCTGCTGCTGTTGTTGTTGTTGTTGTTGTTGTTGTTGTTGTTGTTGTTGTTGTTGTTGTTGTTGTTGTTGTTGTTGTTGTTGTTGCTGCTGCTGCTGTGGTAAAGGTAGCTGGATGTGAGCAGGCGGGCCCCCAAACGGTGGAATAGTAGTTGGTACTTGACTCGTCGTATTCATGGATTCTATCGATGCATCGCCTTGTGGTGACATCCAAGCCATGCCATCGCTCTTATTTTCTATCTCTTCCCTATTGATACTAACAACGTCATCCATACTGCTTGTACTCGTACCTTCAGTCTTCGTACCAGTCTTGCCCTTGCCATCTCCGAAATGCGTTATGACTCGTTTGTTGGCCGATCCACTTGAATATCCTTCACCGACTATAATATCTGGTTCTTCAAGGACAATGCCGCCAAGTATGGGTCGGCCACCAGTTCCGCCCACTTTGGACGTCAATAGCCATTTCCGGTCTGTCTCTGTTAGGCGATCAAGTGGAATTAGCGATTCGCCATGTGTAAAATTATAGCAGTCTTTTGGGCCAAAGCCTACGCCCCATCGAACCTGAGAAAGCACGGTCGAGGAGAAGTTAGTAAATGTTGGAACTTAGGGGGGATGAAAAGATCTATGCAGGTAACCTACGTAGTACTAAGTAATATAGATAATGAGCATGTTATGTTAGCATCTAATTCTCGTTATCCGAGACCATTTTTGTTTTCCAATTATATAAATACCAGTATGGAATTTAATTACCTTGACTCGTTTATCCGCAATCGCCCGCATGGCAGCATTCCGTGTTTCCATTTTTACAAAAGCGTTGTTTTTGTCATAATTAAGCTGAGGAAGAAATAAAGATCATCACATTTAGAATCGCAAACGATTTCCTCAAAGAATACGAAAAACATGATCTAAATATGACAGACTCACCGTTACACTCACAACCTTCCCATGACGAGAAAAAATTTCCCAGAGTCGCTCTTTTGTAGTTGACTGGGTTACTCCTCCGACGTACAGAGTTCTACTTAAAACTGTGAGGCAAGAGATACGTTGTTAGATATCCACTCCATCGAATCTTACGATAAAACCATAGTCACTCTACGGAGAAATTCCCTTACTTTTAATAACATCCTTAGACAGATTAGGGTCTTTGAAAGCAATACTTTTTTCTTCCTCTAACGTGCCATCCAGTGGTTGATTCAAATCTCCAATCCCAATTCCATGTGGTCCGGATGCGCCCTCACGACCGCCGGGATGTACCGGATTCTGCCAGAGTTGCTGCGGATGTCCGGGCTGTCCGAGCTGTCCATAATTTCCGCTTTCGTCTGCAGGCGCCGGAGGATTAGACGAATCCCATGGATGAGGGGCATGCGGACTGTGCTGAAGAGGATGATGTTGTGGAGGTTGCGCATTTGGAAACCCATCCCAAGCGGGAAACCCTGGCCCGGGAGGCGGAGCGTGTGGTTGCCCTGGTTGTGATTGTAGCCATTGATATGGCTGATACAATGTACGATAGAGCAAGATGATCCCATGATTTCGTGAGCCACGATTTCCACCTTATGATTAAACTGCCGACTTTTTATGACATAAAGAGATCGATTCGATATGCACTTACGTTCACATCCCCCTGCAATTGTGCTGTTCCTTGTGGTGGAGGTGGACTTTGGTATATTAGCGAATCTCCGCCAAATTGTTGATGGTTGGGCGTTACACTAATCGATCCTGACGCCGAGGGTTGGGGTCTATTGATTGGGTCCATAAGATTTTCGGGTGGGTTTTTATTCAAAATAACAAGGAAAATTGAACAGATGGATTAGCCCGACGGAAAAATGACTAAACTGGATTTATAATAGAATATGGGGAGATTATAGAGATTTGGAAATAAGAAGCACAAACGGAAGTGATCGAGCCACGACGTCCGGTATTCCAGTGAATTTGTGCTATTTCTCGTCTACAAGTGCATACGTCCTCATATCATATTCTCAACATGCGTCCTTGACATAATATCGTCCAGGTGTCTGAATTAATACGCAGTCGTTCTTTTTACGGGAATTAAGTGTGAGTTAAGGAGAAAACTTTAAAAATTCTCTGCTGAGAAATATTCAAAAAGTAGTTTAATAAATGTTTTATTTCTGTGTCGTTTTGATCTATGCGACCGAGCATGTTTTATCCGAGGTTGTAATAATAATAGTAATAAATGGGTAATGGTTGGCGAAAAAAAAGGAAATGAGATTTGCTGTGCGTTAAATTATTGTTTATTCTTGATGGGATAATGGTCGTTTTCCCTCCGTAGGCGAACGGTAAATCGAATTAAGATGGAGAAAGGGGTGATCGTGATATATAAGAAATTGGGTGTGTATTATGATATATATATTAAACACAAAAAAGAAAAAGGATCATGCGAGTAAAAGTCAAGGTGTTCTTGGAAAAGGAGTGAATGAAGGAAATGCGGAAGATATAGCAAGAACGTCACCAATTCGTAGATTTCATCGGCATCCATCGGTCGTCGTGGCTAAGACAAAGGCATCCCAAACCTCCTCTCGTGAAGTTTTTCTTACCGTATAAATTCATAAACAATAACATAAAAAACGAAAAAAAATTTTCACTTACGCGTTAGACGGTATGCCCGAAGGAGCTGGACTATGTGAATCGGCTAATTGTCACCCAATCATATAAAAAGTAAAATATTTGCTTAAAACTTTCGACTGTTAAAGTCAACAATCAGCACAAAAACTCCAAGTTCTCTATATCAACTTCTGTTACCGTTAATCTGATGACACTGCGCCGAGTTTGCTATTTGTGGATGCGTTTGTGACGGTGGTTGCTGTGGCAATGGTCCTTGTAATACTGGCAAAACACCTTGCATTCCTTCTTGTGCTAAATGTCCGTTAACTCCTATAAATCCTTGTCCAGCATTTGATCCTGTGCCTATGTTATTTGAGCTACTCTGGAGGGAGGATATAGAATCAGTTAATAGCGAAGGAATCTTTAGGTTGCCTTGTGTAAGTGAGTTTAGCGTGGTTAATGTTCGGAGGAGGGTGGATTGGTCGAGTGCTTGAGACGAAGTACCGTTTAGTTGAGCTAAAGGAAGAAGGCGGTGACAAAGAATAATGATAAGTGTTTGGGACATAAAATTGTTGTTAAGTTAGAATATATGGAAATTTACGATCTCTATGAAATCACTTTAATTTTGACGCTTAGATAACACGTACTAGCAAAGTACGCCCACCTACACGGTCATATGTATATACATTTCCATTCTCACTTTTTTGTCTCTTACCCTGTGAAGTAGCGCCAGAATTCGCACCAAGCAGGGTATTTCCATCGTTTCCGCTTCTTAGTCTCGGATCTCGCGCATTAATAGTCGAGCCACCATCGGCGGTATCACCTTCGGAAAAATAACGAGTTTTTATTCTCTGTAAAAGGTCATCTTCATAAATTCCATGTCGTTTGATCCAGATATCGAGAACTTTCTTAACCTTTTCCTGATTAGAGAAAAGAAAACAACTTAGTTTGTGTGATAGAAGACTTTTTCACGTGTATGAGGCAAATAGAACAATTTGAGCAGTAAGTAATTAAAAACTGATAGAGCATGTAAAATGCAAAAATTTTTGGTCGATTGAATAAAAATGAATTCATCCCATATTCAATTAATGCTAAAATATGTACTCCACAATGTCCGACTCTGTAAAAAGCCTAACAAAGACATGCATCTTTCAACCCTGTTAATCATGCTTAACAAGTTTATAGTTATGAGCCCAAGCCTAGCACTATTCATATGTCGAGCGGTATTTGTAGCAAAATAAAACAACTAATCACGCAACACGATGTAAAAATACTCGTTTTGAGCGAAATTAACATTATCCATAGTATGAAACAAATTCTATGCCTTCTCAATGTCCTTCCTACTGTTCTTCCGATCATTCCATCTCATTATTTTTCTACCTCTCACGGCCTAATCAAAATCCCATACCTTGTCTCTTTCAGGACACTGCATAATATTAACAAACAGGTCTTCCAGTCCTTTTTCAAATCTGTCCAAATACTCTACCGCCCATGTAGGTACGTCTCCATTTTCGGTTTTCTGTCGGTGTGCAGCCTGAGTTATCGAATCGAGGACGTATAAACCACCAAGTTTGTATTCTGATGCACAGCGATGAATGAATTTCTGCACACAATGAGCGATTTGTTTGTATTCCTATAAAAAAATAAGAGACGAGGGAGATGGTAATAGATTAGCATAAATAATATTGTACATTAGAAGACTATCTGTTGGCTACAAATGATCTGTAAATAACATTGTCTTTTGACAGTATCCTTAAGTGAATAGTATTACTATTAAGTATTCTCTCTCCACTCCAAGCAATGAAGCCGACTCATAACAGCAGTCATAATATTTCTTCTATCGATTGCTCGCACTCTCTGCATGCACACATTTTCGATTTCATCCGCTTTGCACACTTCTTGTTCTCTCCCGCTCTCCGCTCTCCTGTGTTTCCCACCTAATACCTTCGGACTATTGAGTGCGATCTTTGTTAATTCTTTTATCCTCGACGCACTTGTTCCAGGTGGCTTCTTTTCTAATAAACTATATAACAACTTTTCGAACTCTGTCTGGTTTTTTGCAGACATTATTTGTATTATACCGTGTATTAATGTGAGAAAGTTTTGATGTAAAGCGTTGCGTGCGTGAGAGGAGAAAAGTCAGTTAGGTGTCGGATGGATTTTTGATTGGATAACAAGTGAAAGGGGTGATTACGTTGAGAAACCACGTGTTATATACGACCAAGAATGTCACGCACATTTTGACTATTATAAAGGTCTCTATCTCATCATTGATTTTAACACACATATTAAAGACAGAAGGCTTTTTCCGGATGTTCTGGAAGTTTTTGGTCAGTGTTTTACTATATTAATATGGTGTATTTCACAACAAAAATCAGTATGTAGAATGTCAGTCGAGGTGAATGAATAATGTAAAATATCCGGGATACTTTAGTCAGTGGTCGGGTATTTTTTTCATTGTCTCCAGTAAAAATCAAAATAAAGTTTTGGTCATAAAGAATAAAAACAGACCATCACTTGTGCGAACAGCACGAATTATAAAAGCTTTTTTTTCTGTAGATGGAAAATTAAGTTAAGAAAAACCGTCCATGATGTAATAACAATACTGTATCTCGTCAAAGGTTTAACGTTTTGAGTAAAATCACAGCCTTATCCACCATAATAGAATAGTATGCCTCAAAAAAATATCACAAGTCTTTTCTGCAGCTTCGTTTACGTATGTACAATAAGAATGATAATGGATAGTAACATCTAATATCTGTGTCTGTTCCTCTCTCCACCCTAACACTATTGTCTATGATCTGTTCATGTCATAATAATCTCTTCTCTTGCTCTAAATGAGACATACCCAGTATCAATTGCTTTCTAATGTCTAACGGATTATTTAGCGCGATTGGAATTTATGATCCAAATGACTTGTATCTTGTGATAATATTAACTAACGTATTCACTTTTTCAATGTATGTGCGAAATAAAAGTATCAGTCGATTTTCACACATGTCCTAAATCGAACGTATACAGTGGACTCTCCGTGCATTATCTCTCTAAGTGCAGGAAATAATCTGGTCCCATGTGTGAATTCAATATTACTGATTCTCCCTAAATGCAGGTTTCTCTCTAAGTGCAGGCATTGACCCCGGCCCCAACGACCTGCACTTAGAGAGAGTCCACTGTAGTTAGTTGCGAGCGCGTTTCCATCACGAAATCTAACATTAGAGAGAAGGATAATGGCAGTTCATTTAATAGTTGACTACCGTCTATAACAAATTTTTATATATTAATATCGATTGAAATAGAAAATACAAATTAAAATGACAATATTGCAATGTCTGTTGTTCACCGGACCCCAAATGGTTGGAATAGTAAAACGGTCATTTGTTTATTCCTAGCTAACATTACGGCTTCGCGAATTTCATGAGCTATGATAGGCATCTTATGCTTGTGGTAGACAGAACGAAAAGTTGTTAGTATTAGCACCGGATGATTGCCCGTGAGAATGATTCTAAAAATCTACTGAGCTACCTCGTAAAAATTACACAGATTATCAAAGCTTGCCTGTTCGGTATCCACGAACTTGGTGTCTTAACAAATTGATATTAATAAACCAGGTGAAGAAGCAATGAGACTGCTTATCTGTTGTCAATGATAAGAATACGAACACGGAAAGAGGAAGAGGCAAAAGTTCTATGACAGTGACAAGCTCGCAGACGCAATAACGCGTTAAAGTGGATCTAATACAAGGGGAGAGTATGGAGTCGCGGGTAATTTTTGCATATATGAGGTACACTGCCAGTGAGTATAAATCATAGAGTTACCAGTCAGGTATCCAGTCTTGACCCTGACTTGATTATTTATGACATAAATGTCTTTTTTTAATGTCATTAGGCAGTAAAAAGATATGACGACGGGGTTGACCCGGAAACCTCTATGATGTAGAAACCGCACAAGCCCGAACCGGTTAGGATACATACGAAATATAATAATGATAATGATAACAGCAACGCATTTAACTCAATCTGTTTATTTTAATGATAGGCCGCGCTTTTCGGATGTGGCAAGACAACTTGCATAAACGTTACGATACCCTATCATCATCTGCGATAAGTATATTGTCGCTGATGCATACTAATACTCTCTCACGTCCGACGGCAAATTATAGAGCATGAGTTGGAGGACACGATAAAGAGCTGGACAGGAAGATAAGGTAATGCTGGCGAGGTTTAGCGTTATAGTAACAGTGGGGTGGTAACAGCGGCAATAGATTGGGTTTCCGATGTTACCAAAGACGTTTTTTAAACGAATGTTAAACTATCAAAGTTGCATTATTTAAACGCTAAGCTAAATAATGGTGTTGCGTTAATATAAACCGAGTGCAATATACAGACGGCAATGTCCGACATCTTATAAATTGACATTTAACCCGGGATGAATAACCGTCAAAGATTAATGACACAAGTAAACCCTAATATACAGTCATCGTATTAAACTAAAAGTAGAAGCCGCAGCCCCAAGGGTCGGATATCGTTTGGCCTTCCGCGATTGTTGACCATAAATCATGTAGCATAATATGGTTTATTTATAGATACTGTACTGTCACGTTGCACACGATACTATGTATATTTATGTAACAGTCAATTCAAAAGTAAGTTTATACCGGAATTCGGTATCAATGAAGTCCGTAATATTTATAGTAATCCCAAAAAACTAAACACAATGAAAAGTGGCTTGGAAGGTCTTACTGGTTTAAGGTCAAGGCTAAACTGATTGCGTTTACTTCAATTTCAAACAGTAATATTTTTCTATTAAAAATTTTGTAAGAAAGTAGATAAATACATATTTCTCGTCGGCATGTCAGTTGGAGCTAACTGGCTTAGAGATGCCAGTTACATACGGAACGTAACAATACTAGAAGGAAACAATAATCATCTGCCCTCGGTTCCTACTTTATTGTTCTGCTCGGTTTATCGTTATTATTGTATAATCACTTCTTTTCTTAATATATGTGCTTGCGTAACGTTGTCTGCTGCGCATGCTATTGATTCAAAAATGATTGTCTCAATTAACGGTTCGGAATTTTCTCTTTCTTTACCGTCCAATCTCCAACTTGCTTTTACCTAATGGCCTGCACTATCAAGAAATCATCAACGTTGGTTGACGTACACGGTAAAAGTCCTAGCTGTCGAAGACGATGGTCCGCGAAGGTATGCGCTTTGTACAACGTTCCACCTTTTGCTAACGATGTTTAACTAATACTAAAGACACCGTTAATACGACAGGATGATAGGTTACTTCGGAATTACTATGTCAAATATAAGGGAAGTTGGTCGCGAATTGCAAAAGAGTTACCAGGAAGAGACAATAGAGCATGTTATAATCGGTGAGGAAGTTTTACTTTATTGTCGGAACTTTTACGGTGTTGTAAATTCTGATATTTATTTGTTTGATTTATATATTAATATTCAGATGGATAAATCATGCCAACCCGGATGGTAAGAACATTCATATAATCTCTACATGCCAAATCAAGTATATTCCTGTTGTATGCATATAGCATATCAGTAATTACAGCTTTATTGACTTCTTTACAGTTAACAAGCAACCTTTGGAGAAATGGGAAATAGACATTTTGAAAGAGAATTATAAATACTACGGTAATCAATGGAATCTAGTTATTAAAGGCTTAAAAGGCAGGACCCCTTTGCAAGCTAAGAATTTTTTTTACAGCATGAGAAAATCTTCAGAGTAAGTAAACTGTCAAGCATTTCATCAAAAGTTTGATAGCTATATTATATCTGCTATTTATTTTACGCAGGAAATTGATCAAGGAGAGAATGTCAATTTATCGAATAGTGAATAAGGATCACTCTAGTGAATCAAACATTCCAGAATCTTTTATGACATATTTTATAGAGAACAACGTGCCCTGACTTTCAGAGGACATAACTTTCCAGATGTCTATTTTTATTGGATATGACATGATACTAGTACTAGTAACGTCTGTAATAATGGTTATACAAAAAATATATAAATATTTCTGTGTTTGTACAATTACATCAACATACTATTGCAAAGTGATGTAACTCAAGTCTCAATATACAGTCAAAACGTTGTTAAACTCTTTACTCAATATTTTTACTATCTCGTTAGTTTTGAAATCCCAATTGTAAACTCAGAAAGACAAGCCTAGCAGATTACCATCAGTCACATAATGTCCCTATCTGGTTGAAGTCAATGAATACCATTCTATTATATATTATATTTCGGAAGAAAAAAGTCCACAGATATTTATCCAGCAGCTTTCTATACCCAAGATTGAATTGGAACACGCGCATCAAAGTCCCACGCCAGTTAGAGTAAGTAAAAAGAAAAAAGATAAGTCTCATTCAAACACAAACATTCATCCTTTGATGGATGTATGGCAATCATATACAATATGCAAAGCTTGGCTTCTAAGCTTAACAAACTAAACAAATTGTCTACAAGTATATTAGGGAATAGCACAGGTAGAAATAAACAATGTCAGCCTCAATTAAGCTGCAGATTTATTTCTGAGATCTGTCAGAAATGCATATTAATATTAAAAAAATCCCGAACATGTGTTATAGGCCGTTCGGTATTGACAACTCCCGGTTTTATTTTATCCCACACATTTCAGATAGTCTTATTCTCAACTGATTTATGGGTGCCGTCTTACTGGAATCAGTATTGCATAATTACACATTACATTTTTCAACCTTTTCCTAAGTACTCATGCTACATATACGTATATGTAACATTTCAGACAGAAAATTAGCCAGAAATGTGTCGTTTTGAATTAAAAAATCTCTATATACACTCACTGGACAAAAGTCTACGTAATTTTTGTCGATCACATAGTAAAACATATGAAAAATCTATTTTTTC